TGACTAGTTTTTTTTTTTTTGTACATTTTATTTATGCAAATTTCTCTACATACAGGCATACACAATACCAAAAAAAAAGACAGGAAACCAGACAAAAAACCCCCCAAAAAAACATAAAGCCAGCACTTACTCATTACAAAGAAAAGAAAATGTATAATTATACATGTCAGTTCACTGAACAGAAGTCCCAGAATGTTCACTAACAAAAGTGAAAAAATAAAAAATAAGAAATAAAAATGGTGCAGTGCATTTAGGACCCAGTTTGTGGTCTATCCTTCCTGCTGTATTCTTTGAAAGGGCCCCAGATCTTCTTAAACTTATCATGGGAGTTAGACATAGAAAAAATGAAAACGTAAACAGGAAACCATATAATTTAGCCACCTCTCTATGTAAAGACATAGTTGAGTAATGCTGTTGCCAGTTTGATCTGAGTTTGGTGCATTGTGCTGGAGCGACTCACTGTGAATTACCTGTCAATCACAAGCCAGCCACGCCCTAAAGCATACCCTGCTTTATTGTCTATTTTACTCTAAATGGGACCATAATTTAGAAAAAACATCATGTTATATGGAAGAAGATGGAAACTAAAGCTTGAGACCATAAATTCATCAATCAAACTCAACTCTCCAGGCAGGAGAAGGTTGGCCTGTGTTAAGTACTGGAAGCAGTACATAGCAGTGTGGACTCAATATATACCAAACTCAAAATAGTATCAGTAGAAAAGAGTTTGTTTATTTTCTGCCAGTTCTAGAGATAATCTTCAGGATATGGTCAGTAAATTGAATGCATTATGTTTCCGGGTTGTCCTTGCATCCATCCATTCATCGATTCCCTTCTTGTGAATGCAGTATCTCAGGAACACCTCGAGGGAATTCCTTCAAACTTGGCACAAATGTCCAGTTGGACTCAAGAATGAACTGATTCAATTTTGGTGGTCAAAGGTCACTGTGACGTTGATGTTATCAATGACCTTGACCACCTTGTCATAACTCATGAATTGATGTGGTAATTATGGCTACATTTCACACATATGTGAACAAAGGTCAACTTCCCTGTGACATCATAGTCTCATAATATTTTGTCCATTATTTAACACCATAACTCAGAAACAGAAGGGGGGGGCATACAAACACAGGGCACTAATTATAATTTACTGCCTTAGTCATATTGATATAGCAGTATTGTGGCTAAAACGTTAAGTTATGAATTTATTAAAAGAAAGAAAAGAATGGTATTTGTTTTTATACTAGGAGTATAAAACCTGTCTATCAAGGCCCTGCTATGCCGATATGTTACTGACAGAGGTTACTTGTTGATGTACACTTGCAAACCACAAGGACAAAAAAAAAAAAGTTGGTCACCAAAAAAGAAACGTTTTTACTGTCCGGTGGAATGCTGAAATCAGTCCGCGGCATCTTATCAATAACCTCAAGTTGTGAAACTTAAGTTGTGACAGTCCAATGGCTGTCATGGATCTAATGAAGTCACAGCAACCATCAGTGACCATCTGAAATGACAAAAGTGTCTTGTATACTGGCATTAGACAACATAAGATTTTAAGTTTCTGTTATAGGAACCAAAATATGTAATATACAGGTTTTATATACTGTACTTGCCACTGAACATATACTGAATATGTGACGCGTTCCATCAAAATGACTCGGATGTCGCAGCGGCCCGTTTGTGTAGAAACACGTTTTTACAAGAAAATAAAATTTGGGGCTATTTTCAGTTTTTACATGTTTCTAATTAAATAAAGTCTCAGCTTTCATACCATGTCAAAATTAATGTAAAATACAAAGGATAAATATAGCTAGCATAAATAAAACAAAACAGGTGTGAGAGTTCAAAACACCGGCTAGCGTGTTTGTGTCATCTACGTCATCTGTCAACTGTCAGTTTAGATCGACACGGACACAGAGACAGATTGACAGCCTAGACAAAATTAATTTTTGCGACGACGAAATTGCTCGACTTTTAAATTCAATTCCTGTAAGACATGCTACGACAACTGGATCGACCTTATTACGGACTTTTTCACCGCACCGGCAGCTGAGAGTGAGAGTGACAGCGGCGTCTCGACCTCCGAGTCTGACTCGGATTTCGCGCTACCGACACCGGCCGGCTCCGATCGTGATGGCGAAGAAAGTGAGTGTGACGGAGGCCAGGAGGAAGATATTCCACTCGTGGCTGACCCGATGGTAGCATACAATGTCTCTGATTATAATTATGTAAAGCAGTAAAGCAGTAAAGTTTATTTATTTGAATATAAACTGTCTATAAATGTCTTTCAATTCATTTGGAATATGGCGGAATGTTGATTGCTATCTGTAGAGCCCTTTTTCTCAAAAACAAGGTTTGGTGACAGTCAACCTTTGGAAGAGCGTGTCTCATACAATTTCTGGAGTAGAAAAATAATTTTGGTATCGCCATAAAGCTGAGACTTTCCTCTTTACAGCCATGAAGAAAACTCAAAATGTGTTTCTGGGTCAAAGTGACTCAAAATGATGGAGCAGGTCACATATATGCATCATAGGACAAGAAGACAATGATAGGGCATGTTATGGGCCAAGATATTTACAACTTCTCTCCAGCCTCTGAATCTTATCTCTGCTGTATTTCTCTTGGCACTCCATGAATTCACTCATTATGTAGACCAGCCAATTCTATTACCGATGCCATGGTGCAGTATCTGTGCTACATGATTAGGTCACAGCTTTCAACTACATTACACCTAGTTAAGAACACCTTAGCTCACCAGGATTACAAGGACCTGATAGCAGGCAAGAGGGGGGCAATGGGATGGGAATGATGAAAAAGGAGGTCACCTAGGTGTCACAGGGTTGTTCTCAGTCTAGGATGGAGGGGACACGAGTGCCTCTTATGTGATATCCTTTCTATTCCTCTTTCCAGTTTCTCACTGCTTGTGTGTTTCATTCCATCTTATTACACTAAGCTGTTTTAATAATGACTGCCAGGACAACGGCAACATTTCTGACTTGACTTACAGTTGTTAAAATAAAGGGTAAAAATGCAATATTTTGATGGGCCTTTTTTGACCTCATCAATGCAATTCACATTACCTTTTGTTTTTATTTAACAAAGGATCACATCCAGTCATTAATTTCTTCAGTGCACTAGAAAAACATAGCTACATCATGTATGCATAACCACCTTCCTACATCCTGCCCCTTGAAAGGAGGAAGTGTACCGAGGTTCTGACCAAAGCTTGCGCAGCTATTATTGGAGCACAGAGCAGAAAGGGGTGGGACTTGGGAAGGGTTAATTCCACTTTAATGTTGCAAATGCTTAAATAGTCCTAGCAGACATTCAGAACTAACCCAATGGCTAGTGTGAAGGACCCAGAAAGGCTACTGATGACTGAGATTGAACATGATTGATCAGACAGATACAATCTAACAAGCTCAGCAAGCTGAAATGCTGTAGGTGTAATTCTTAAGATTTGGAAACCTTATGACACAATACTTCACAAGGAAACAAACCCATTAATGCGATCTTTGAAACCAATGTTCACACAGCAGAGGCAGGGTAGTGCAGCTTACAAACCTTTTCACTTTGCAGGGTCCGAACCCAGTACGACATCCACTTCTTTGCAGACACATTAATCTAAAATTTTAACCTGTACAAGCCAGATCTGTTGTTGCTGCATTTACTGTATGCCATTTTGATCCATAAGCAGTGTTTTCTGCTTGTTATACTTACTTTTCCAAAACATCTTTCACAACAACATCTTTTCTGCCTTCCCCTTTTCATTGTAGCTCCCATACCTCATCTCCCTTGGTAGGAGAGGATTAACTACAGAATTTTAAGATCACTCCCTGTCACAGATGTTAACTTTGAGATTGAAATGAGCTCTCTGTGGTAGAGGGAGTGAATTAAAAAGAAATGGAAACGTAAACCTTAAGATGCCTGAAGAATCAAGGCTCTTCATTGTTGAAAAAAAGCATGGAAAAAAAGTACAGGAGAGTTTAGTGGTTAAACTTTATAGGTTCCCAATGGGTAAATTTTTGACCAAATTGCAGCAGTGTGTCTGGCCAAACACACTGCAGGCAGGAATAGTATCCATCGTATTCACAGGTTAACAAGCATAAGTGTACTGTCAAAGTTCAGCTTGTAGGAAGTGACCGGGGCAGTGAGTATCCTTACCTCTTCCTCTCTGCACTGTCTTTTAGATGCTATAGCTGGGTCCATTTTAAAGTTGGAGTGAAGATATTGGTATCATACATAACCATTACTGGAACAATCTCATGCTAGCATGTCAGAGGGGGGCCAAATAACGTTTCAAAGTTAAGCAAAATTTAGGCGATGGAAAACCTGGCATGACCTCAAGATATTGGAATGAAAATGGGTTCATGGATAATGAGTGTCCCATTTTCACACCTACCCACTTTATGCTAATCTCATGCAGTTTTTGGGTAAAAACTGTGCAGTTTTTTGCATGTGGTATAAATGTTATTTTCCCTAGTGTATTTGAATATTTCTAAATGATTGGGTCTATAAACAGTACTGGAACTGAATAAATTTAGAATGACTGGAAAGCTGAGACACATACTTCATGCCACCCCTGCATAAGTCAGTGCCCCCTGTAGGTATCCCTCTATCATCAATTCTAGATGCAGCTGTTCATGTCCTGTGTGAAACCAAAAGTAAACAATTTCCTTGAAGTAACATACGCAAGTTACGTCAGGTACACTGTCAGAAAAAAGGGTACAGTTGAGGTCCATTTATGTGCTCTAAGGTACAACTGCTGGTGATGTACCCTCAAAGGGTCATATTTAATCCACAAGGTACTAATATGTACCTTTTCTAGGTCGATAAGGTACATATACATTTCAGACTGACAAAGGGTCCATGTCTGTACCATTTTCCCAACATATAGGGTACAATCATACATTGCAAAAAAAAAAAAAAAAAAAGCACGCGCACGTCATTTTCTTCTCGTCTTTCACTTGCCGCGAAAAACATGAGTATGAAGGATCTTTCAACGGAGGAGGTCCTCCAGAAGTTGGAAGAATTTGGACTAAATGTGACCGAAGAGGAGGCACAGAGATTCAGAGGTAATGTAAGGTTGAATTGGAAAGTTAAAGTGCTTTATATGTTTTATGTAACTTTTTTTTTGTGAAAACCAAACGAACTTTAGCTAGTTAGCTAACGTTAGCTAATTCAACGGCTAAATTGCTATCATTTGCTAGCTACCAAGAAAAATTAATAACATTTCACAATTCGCATAAAGTTAAGTCAAATGTTGTAGATTAGTTTTGGGCAAATAGTTGTAATACAAGTCCACCCTGCTAAACAACATTAAGGGGAATACTAAATGAATAACGTTACCAACTGAAAATTAACGTTACCAACTGAAAATTAACGAGCCACCAACGGCCGCGATTGTTGCTGGGCAACCAGACGCCCTGGGGCCGGGGAGGATGTCGCGAGGAAAAAAATCTTAAATGCACCATTTTTAGTAATGACCTCATGAATATATGTTAGGTAACGTTAAATTATATTATTGCCACGTTTAATTTGATGCCATCAAAATTGTTGAAACACAGACACCGGAGCCATTAAGCTGGAGCCTAAAGCACCAGGAACATATTTCCAACATCCTTTAAACCAGATTTAGATTAACCTTTAGTTAGATACTATTTTCTAATCATTGACACTAACGTTAATGAAGTGAAAGTTTTGAAGGGCGGAATTTGCACTTGCTTTATGGATAATTAAGTGTTTTTCTTAACGTTAACGTTACTTGCATAAATCAAGGAGACAGTAGGCTAACATTACGTTTGAAGCGAGCTAACGTAGTTAGCTAACTTCTGTTTTTTGTAACGTTATAAGGTGGACAGTGTTGATTAACATAATTAACTTAATATATATTATGAGAGCCAAATGCATCCATGAAAGTAATGTTAAGTACCATTTATATTCACCTTATCATTGTGCTTGTGTTTGACATGAAGCTACCGGTAACTTAGTTTAAGGATAGATTAGCTAACGCTACTAGCTAACGCTACTACGTTAGCTAACGTTATGTCACTAATATGCCGGCTGGTAACGTAAGGTAACGTTACGAAGCTGAAAGGGTGGTCAGGTCAGATCAGATTCCGCCTCTGAACCGGGAAGGTTGTTAGCAACAGACCCTGTGTGAAAAGTAACGGTCTTTTTCTAAGCCGCTATCGTGTAGCCGGGTGGAACTGTGGGGCAGTTTGTCCGGTAAGTTAGTTGCAGCATGCAGTGATTATGTGATTAGCCGATAAGAGGCACCTGTTGGCAGGCCGCGTGTGTTTATGCTTTTGGTCGAGTGGCCCCAATGTGAGTGAATCGGAATTTAAGTTATGTGTTCGTCAGAGCGGCGTCTGGCCGTAAGACAGCTGTTACAAGAGCTTTTTGACAGCGTGCTCAGGTAACGTTACGGGTAGTCGGGGAAACGCAGGCAGAGGTTGGCTGTGTAGCTTGTAGGGAGTCACTGTCGGTGATTTTCTTTTCTTTGTTAATTTCTGTTCTGATGTTGTATTAGTTCCACCCTATGTGTGTTGTATATGCCTTTACTATATTGATTGTGAGCTCCCCTTGCACTGGGTTAACGTGTCTGCTGGCCATTATATTTACTGCATGTCAGCTTGTGTGTTTAATGGGGTAATTGATATCACAGCCTAACTGTCTCCTTGTGCTTCATAGTTTTACTTCTTCCAGTCGTAACGTTAATAGGACGTCTGTGGCTTAAGAGGTGCTACATTAGCTTATCATAAAACAGTGTTATTAACAACATACCAGAAGCTGACATTACCAAATTTGTTTACCACACAGCGTGTTTCAGTAATATGTGATCAGTTACACTTGCACCGCTCTCTATTGATGTTAAGAGTTTAGCTAGCTAGCTACTGTCTCTTGGACTGAAGCAACTGAATTGTTTTTCTATGTTGCTAGCTGTGTGTAGTGGTCTACGTGAAGTGTACCCCGATCTGTATTTGTTGTTCAGTTTAATTTCTGAATAATACAATTTACATAAATGTGTCCATGTTTTGTTTTGAAGGATGACTCTTTATTTCTCTTTCTCTACCTCTGTCTGTGTGTGACAATGTTCTTTTCAGACAATGAAGTGGACGGGGAAACATTAGAGTATGGCCTGACGGATAACATGGTATCATACCTTTTTCCTGGATCATTTAAAAAACAAGTCAAGTTCAACAAATTTATACAGGAGTTAAAGGATGTGGTAACATTGACTTTAGAACAAGTGCCTGAAGAATGCATTGAGCAGCCTTCGACTATAGAAAGGTAAAGTTTGATATGTTGAGCATTAAAAGCATTATATATCTATTATCTAATAGGTATTGTAGCTCTATGAATATAACATTGGAGATATTGTTTTCTTTGTTTGTGAATTGTTTGATACTTGTGGGTTGATCTGTGTATTGCTGGTAATTCAAGTTCCTCATCCCTTCTCTTCCCCATCTCAGCAGTGAGGCAAATCGGAGACTGCCTGCTGGATTCATCGTTCCACCTTTCCCCAGAGATCTTCAGACCAGACTCGACAACAAAGAAGCATGTTTGAAGTTATCTAGAGATCGACATAGGATCATTCGAGTTCTCCATGAAGCAATCATCGAATACACAATGTAAGTCAATGTATTGTCCATTGCTACTCATGGCCAAGTTAGAACATTTTAGAGGTAGCCTATGTCTCTGCCATGGCATTACTCCATCATTGCTTCATTAAGTACTTCTGGCAGTCAAGATGTGAGTAAAATTAGTCAAATTTACTTGTAAAAATTTTAAGGCCAATTATTTTAGTAGTATTTTAACGATTGTGGCTTTTAAACAACAGTTTATGGGTAAACTAAATTGCTTTATTCATTAATTTAATCTTGATCACAGGTATCCCACCAACGCAGAATATGTGCAAGTTGTTAAAGCACTTATTGTCAAGTACCCTGTCCTTAAGGATCTGGAGGGAAACGGCTATGTAAGTTACGTTTGATATTATGTAGCTTGTTATTTTCTGATGTAATGAGTTTGAGAACATTGAATGAAATAAAGAATGCATGCAAGTGTATTAGGGCTGCACGATTTGGAGAGAGTCATATTGCGATTGTGGACAATATTGCGATTCGATTATAATGGAACAAATCGTACTATGAGTCTACTTGCTTGATTATCAAGGAAAATGCACAAAAACTGAACTGTGTATTTCTCAAATTGAACAAAGTTAAACAATACTTATAACAATAACTTTAGTAAAACAGATGTATAAAAGAACAAGGGGAGAGTGTTTCTCTCAGGAGGAGGTGGCTAGAAGCAGCACATATTGGCACATATTGGGGGTTACGGTAGGTTGTTGTTTTAAACGTTACTCGCATACTGCTCATAAATAATTTTTCTGATTGCATGTAGGTCTATCTGTTTTTAGGGGCACATGCGAGAGCCCGGTGTGGATAATGAGCAGACTGCAGTGTACACAAAGACCAGTGTCACACACAGAGCACACTTTATCTGTTAAATTAAATCACACCCTTTTTGCGGTTTTGTAATCGCACATGACGACCTTGTGATTGCAATTCGATGAGATTAATCATGCAGCCCTAAAGTGTATTGAGTTATTTTCCTTGGATAAGTTCATGAAATTAATATTTAATGATGGGGGTTATCTTTGTTGTATTGTCTGTGTTAGCATACCTGGCATCAGTCCCTCAAACGCAAATTCAAAGCAGAGCGTGCACCTTTGGTTCATGAAGACGAGGTGAGAAGGAGTAAGGAGAAGTTTGGGCACAAGAGAGCCAGACAGTCTACGGAGGCTGCAAGAACCTATTGCAGATCTGTGCCAGGGGTGAGTGGATTAATGCAGCTGCTTACAGTTATTAGAAAAGTTGGTGTACAATAATATTTTACAGGTAAACCTGTTTTTATTTCCATCAGGTGCCTGCTATCATTGGTGAGGATGCTTCCTCTATTGGGAGACATGTGAACATCCTGCGTGTCCAGTATGAGAGAATGCAACCAGACAACTCTATTGTTAAAGACTGCATGCAGCGAACATTTGCGTGGCGGCGAAGAGAGATAGCAGATGGAATGACTGTGGAGGATATACTCAAGAAATACCCTTTCTTAAGAACACCCTCAGGGGTAAGTAATATGAATCACAGATCATTTAGTCAATTTTCAAAGCACACATCAATATAAGGACTTAGAACTTAGTAATACTTTCTAACTTCAGTACAATATTTTGAAAAATATTGATATTCGATACCATACCACAGGGGAAAATTGACACATTGATTACATTTCTGAATTAAATTACTAAATTATCTAATCAACTTATCTTAGTTAGTAAAGTTAATAATACTGTGTATTAAGCAGAACAGCATCAGTTAATTTACCTTGGTCAAAGTATTTCTTATAAACTAAATCTCTGCTGTCTGAGATTCCTCAGGTCTGATAGCTCTGAGGGGGATTAGCTTAGTTTAGAGAATACAAATGTCTGTTGGGCAAACAACAGGACAACTATCTTATCAACAACAGTTTACTGGGCCATCTTGTTTATTACTTTAGTGATGTTGAAAGGGGAGAGACGTCTCCAACCTCTCCAACACTACTTGGAATAGTAACAGTGTAATGTAACTTAAAGGCATACAAGAAAGGTGTTTTACTACTGGTTTGGTCCTTCAATTTCAACTTTTCAGTTGTACGATGAGGTTGACAGGATCCATCCATCATCTGTCAACTTATGCCGGCGTTTGAAAGAGGGCTTCACAAGTGTTGTGCCGAAGGTGCTCAAGCTTGCTCAGGGAAAAACCCCACTGGCCAAAATCTACGTTGAAGCAAGAGAGGAAATGCTGGTCGAGGATCTACAAGGTATTGTTACTTTTGTGTGTGTAGTGAATAATCATCATCAGAAAGTTGATATGGGCAGTACTTTATTTTAAGTGCTTCTGTAGAAAATGTGTCATCATGTCAGAGTGTTGTTGGAAAGTTTATGGGGGTGGCTGTAATAAATTAATAAGTAATATCTTCGCTCCACAAATTTAAGTGCTAAGTACTTTGTGACAAATAAATAACTGAACGATAAAGTGTACAGACCACAACTGAATAGCTTCACATTCTAACAACTAACAAAATAAATCCAGTGAAGAACAGAAATTAGGCCCCTTTTTCTGAGAGAGCTGTTGCCTGTTGACTATTCAGTGTTAATTCAGTTCAAGAATTAACATTAACGTTATCCACTCCAGTTAATATTGACTAGCAGCTTTGTACTGCGTGCTAAGCTCCACAGCCCAGCTCTGAGTGTGCAAGGACAGGAGTGCTGTTCAGACAGGTCAACCTGAGGGCCGGTCAAGGAGGGGCTGAGCGCTGCTCTACAAAGAAATAAGAATTTACCCAATATAAATAGTAAATAGAAAATCCATATGTGTCAGTCAAGGTTTATATTGTTGTGGGCCGCCACAAATAAATCAATGTTTGGGAAACATTAAAATTAGTTTGGTAACATCATAGTAACTAACTGGGTGTTCATTAAACTTGTGCATTCAATTTACTGAAATGTCAACATGTTGCTGAAGAGATTTCCATCTGCTCTGTGTTCACCTATTAAGGCAGTCAACTGGGTCTTAAAAATTACATTTGAAGAGCTAATTTCATTAGATTTTTTTTCTAAACTCAAATATATTTGAATGTTAAATATATTACATAGGAAAGCACTACATTGTGCAATTATGTTTTTCTAAAGACACAAAAGGTATTTTGTTGATGACAACAAGAGGGAGGACATGGAAACTCACCTTGATTGAGGGATTGAAATGAGAAGACTGTCTGTTTTTTGATGTTAAAATAAATTATTAAGGACTCCTTTCATTGTCTTACAGATGTTGACTTCCGTGCTGCGCTGATCCTGCTGCCCTACATCTTTAAAGAGAAGGTCGACCAGTTTATTACATTGGGACAGGTACGCAGTTAGTAATCAGAGGTTTGGGGTAAAACACATGGTTGTGTCTCTCTCTAGAACATTGGCTTTTTAAGCTTTCACCCTGTTTTTGCTAAACACTGAGTGGTCTGCAACCTTGCTCACAAAGCTGGATTTGTTGTCTAGGTGGCTGACTTCACCATTGTTCTGACATTTTTGTTTTCTTTGAATAGTGTGACGCTGAAAGTCCCTACCCAACTGTACAGCTGGTAGACAACAACTGGAAAATAGCTTTTACCAGGAAGGTCCCAGTTTCTGTCAGAGTGGATGGTGTGGATCTGTGCAGGGGAGCAGGAGTTGAGGAGGGAGTAATTGCAGCCTTCTGTGCCTACTTTGTTTTCAACTTGGCTTACCCACCCTACATGAAGAATACGCTGACCTTCCTCCAGCGTACTATGAACATTACTGTGGTGGGTGAAAAGTCCCTACCCGTCACTGTGACCCGTATGATAAACATTCTCTATTAAAGATGCCACGGCCATATAGATGCACAAGGTGTAGAAGAACCACCTTTACCTTAATGAAACTTGTTCAACACGTTGGCCTTATCCATTCTCATGAAGCCAACTTTAATATCACATGTGGACTTAATGACTGCAAGTCAACTTTTAGAGTGTATGAATCGTTCAGGCGTCATGTGTACCGTAAACATAGGGAGCATGTGCTACCTGATAGTGATGAAAATGAGATGGACAATGACATGAACAATGACATGAACAACGACAGTGACATGGAGAGCACAGACAATGATCTACAGCCTAGGGCAGATATACCACCAAGTATGGATGCACTATTGAAAAATTTTAAAGAAAATCTCTGTAGCTTCATCCTGAAATGTAGAGAAAAAAACCACATTCCACAGGCTGTCCAACAGGAAATTGTAAATGACCTAAACTTTTTATTTTGTTTTTTTAAAGAACATTACGATGCTTTTATTACTTACCATCTTCAAGAAAATGGGTTCAATATTTTGGAATGTCCTGAACTGAGGGAGGTGATACAGTCTACTGATTTTTTTGAAAAAGCTTCAGCAGCTGTTAGATCTCCATACATGTTGAAAGAACATTGTAAGTCAAAGCTAAAATTGGTTGATCCCGTGCATCACGTTTTGAGGTCAGAAAGTGGACACAAAATAGGTACATACTCTTATGTTCCTATCACTAAGGTTTTAACAAACTATTGCTCACATGAGGACATACTGGACGAAATTCAGGCCAACAGGTTTAAGGCCAGAGATCCAGATTATTTAAGCGACTACTCTGATGGTACTTACTTCAAGGAACATCCCTTCTTCAAAGTCAATCCACATGCCTTACGTCTTCATTTCTATGAAGACGAATTTGAAGTTGTCAACCCCTTAGGCTCTAAGCGAACCAAGCACAAGCTTTGTGCTTTCTATTATAATATTGGCAACCTTGACAGCAAACATCGATCCAAACTTAAGCATATCCATCTGGCTGTTTTAGTACGTCAAGCATTTGTGAAACGTTGTGGTTTACAAACCATCTTAAAACCCATGTTAGATGATCTTAAAAAACTTGCAAGTGATGGTATCACTATAACCGTAGATGGGATTGAGCAGACTATTCATGCTGCACTAGCAACATTTTCAGCCGATAATCTTTCAGCCCACATGTTGGGTGGTTTTACTATGTCATTTAACTCGCACAGAGTTTGCCGCTATTGCATGGCAACATATACAGAAATGAAAGAAAAATTCAATGAGGGCGATTTTGTCTTGAGAAGCACAGAGGCACATGAGTATCATTTGACATGTATTGAAAACCCTGAGCACAAAGTGACATATGGAGTAAACGGTCCTTCTCCATTAAATGAACTGAAGTATTTTGATGTGACAAAAACATTTCCCCCTGATATAATGCATGACTTATTGGAAGGAGTTATTCCTCTTACGATTAAACTAGTTGTGTGCCAAGCTCACAAAGAGAAGCACATAACAATTCAAGAGATAAATGAAGAACTACAACAACTTTCAATTGGTCAGAATGATGCAAAAAATAGACCAGTACAATTGTCAGAGCGACTAATGCAAAACTCTGGCATTGTAGGGTCTGCCTCTCAAAAATGGTGTCTCTTTAGGCTTTTGCCTTTCTTAATGGCACACCGTGTTCCTCCCAGTTGCAAATATTGGGATGTTTTTCTGATCTGCCGTGATATTGTGGACATTGTAATTGCCCCAAAAGTAAGAAGGGACAGCTTAAGTATATTAAGCTTACTTGTTTGTGAATTCCTTGAAAAAATGAAAGATACTTTTGGAAATGTCATAACTCCAAAATGTCACTATATGATTCACTATCCCAGACTAATTGCCATGTATGGCCCCCTGCGTTCACTATGGTGTATGCGCTTTGAAGCCAAACACCAGTATTTTAAGAATGTTGCGAGTAGCTGCAGAAATTTTATTAATGTAGCAAAAACTTTAAGCGACAGGCACCAGATGCGACAGTGCTGGGAGTTTTCCCCACACAACATACTTGATGACTATGAGATGGTGAAAGGTACAAGTACAGATACTCCGTTTTCATCAATCCCATTAGAGCTACAGAGATGTCTTGCTAGTGTACATGGGAGTGAAGATGCATTTAAAAACATGCAGCGTGTGTCAGGGGTGATTATTGACAGTGTAAAATATGCTTGTAAAGATGTATTCATTGTTGATTACTTGCATACAGAGAGTATTCCTCTATTTTTTCTTATCAAATATATTCTAAATATAAACACAATGTGGCTTCTGTGCGGTAAGCTATTAGTCCCAATGTCTTATAATTCACACTTGCATGCGTACACAGTCAAGGTTGATCCTCAGTGGAGTGTAATCAAACCAGGACAAGAAATGGACTTTCAGTCCCTCGACATGTACCATATTGATGATAAGTTGTATGTCATTCTTAGAAACATTTGAAATATTCAAGAGAAGTGAGTAATCAAATGAAAGTTTTTTTTTTTTTTAAAGTGTTCACATTGTAATGCATTAGTGTAAGTGTAAAAATGTATAGTTTATTATAGTGGGAGAAGAGAAAATAGTTTGTAATTCTGAAATTCTGCATTGATACAATTGCTAATATTTGTGATGTTTTGTGTAATGTGTCAATACTGCCAAAAATTGTATGATTTGAAAATACATCAATTGAAAATATTAGAAGTAAAATTTAAATGTCATTGATAAATTGTGTAATGAATGTCAAATTTAATAAATGTGGTAAGATATTATTTTTGACTGTTTTACATGCTTTATTGAGTACAAATTTGCCATCATAAGGTACAAAGGGGCTTGTCACTGGGGCAGTACCCTCAAAAGGCCAAATTTGTACCATTTCTAAAGGTCCATTTAGGTACCATAACATTTAGGTCCATATTTGTCCCCAGGGGTACATATTTGCTCATGTAAGGTACAAATTGTAAAGGTACCAATATGTACCCATGTTTAGGGGTACAATGGGTGTACCTTTGAGGGTACTGCCCCAGTGACAAGCTGTTGGACCCCTAAAGGTACAAATTTAGCACATTATTTCTAACAGTGTACCTAATGTAACTTCCTAATCCTAACCATGTAGTTTTGTGTCTAAACCTAACCAAACTGCAACTATTTCACAGCGTTAAACTCGTAAGCTTTATTCTGAAAGTATAATTGAACGTTGCATATTTTTTGTTGCTAGCTTGACCGTGGTTCCCTGCATGTTCAGTAATAACACTAGAATGATATCTACAGTGTCTTATTTTGGGACCAAGGGCCATTGACCATTCTCCAGTATTTCATGAGTTGTGTTTAGGTTTAAAACTACAAGTGCATTTGTTTATTTCTATGCAGGTTTGTAAAGTACATTAATATCAAGGCTTCCAGAAGCTATTATAACTCATTTTTCCACCCATACTGTATGTCCTTCTATATCACTGACTGGAGTACTGGCTAAGCTGCTACCTTGTTGCTTCATTCTCCGGTTCCTCCACAATGGAGCCCAGTATATAAGGAACAATCTATCTACATGTAACTTTGTTCCCTGCCTTTTTCTTCTTTCCCCCCCAAATTGTAATATTTTAATCCACAGAAGTGAGTTGTATCAACTTGACCAGATGCTATTATTTGAATGGCATGGCTTCGCATTTAGGTGATATATTTAGATACAAACATTTAATGGTGGATTCCAGAAAACTTTGATTTTTAAGGGCTTTTGGAAGATAAGATCAGAGGTTTATTTTTACTGCATTATTTCTTTTTTTCTGTATCCAGTTCCAGCCTACTGTTCTAATTTATTTCCCCCTCCTCAGGGTTGTTTATTGCAGTTGTATGAGAGAGATGGAGGAGGGGAAACAGTGGAACGACCCACCCACCCAGTGCACCAGCTATGTAGGACAGTGAAATTGATGGGCCATTGCGTGTAGGTGACCTACATAAATGTATGTGGATAGAGACTCCTTCCACACTGGAACTGAGCTCTGCTGTAGGTGTGAGACACACACTGTTCTCACATACATACAGCAAGAAATCCTTATGTGATGTTTCACATGGACAGTCATCTAAGCAAGTATTATCATGTTAGGGGACAAACTCCTGCTGGTAAGGAGAGTAGCTATTTTTTGTTTCTGGTCGTTTCAAACATTGATTAGGAAAGTTTTTTCTGTTTTTTGTTAAAGCCTCCTAACATCCAGCAATTTATTGTCCTCTGCGGGGACACTGAGGTCTTCATTTCAAAAACCATGTACACAGTCTTTCTGAGCCATATCCTCTGAAGAGGACATACTGTGCTTTCTAGTGATGTAACACACATGGGGGTGTGGCCAACAGAGTACAGCTCCTGTCTTTTCAAAATGGCAGGAATTAGATATAGATATATTATTCTTTCTTTTCTTCATAGGGCTGTTGTTTTTTATTGAACAGTCTTAATATTTATTAAGGGTATAGAAATGTATGTTATGTACTGTATGATGACAGTGAAACTTCAAGCTACTTCAAGAAACAGAGCACTTAAGTGATGCAGAAAAGATTTTTATCTGTGACCGCTTGATCAGCATGCATGCAGTGTCAGGTGGGTTGTCCATCCATGATCTGGCTGCAACAAACAGCCGGATCCAGTACAGGTCAGACCACCACGCCTGCAAATGTGAGGCTGCAGTACTTTTTGTGGAAAAGATTGTCTGCTGAATGAGAAACATGAATGTTCCTTACGTTGGGAAAAATGTAATAAGATGGTAAATGGACCTGTACTTGTATAGCGCCTTTCTAGTCTTCCGACCACTCAAAGCGCTTTTACACTATGTGCCACCCTTTCACACACATTCACTCAGTGATGGCAAAGTCCATTGAACAGAAAGTAACATTCATACACATTCACACACGCACGGCATCGGGAGCAATTTGGGGTTCAGTATCTTGCTCAAGGATACTTCGACATGTGGCACCAGGGGCTGGGGATCGAACCCACAACCTTCCGATTAAGGAACGACCCGCTCTGCCTCTGAGCCACAGATCGCTGCAGTATATTTGGTTAAAGACTTTGCACCTTTACTTCACCTGTCACGGGGTAGCAAAATATCTCTACTGACTACTTCATTGGAACTAGTTGGTCTGATTGATCTTCAACTCTTATTTTGTTTTTGTGTCTTCATTTTTGCTGTTTCAATATATGTAGGGTATTGCAGCGTTCAGGCATCCAGTATGAAATTGATTGATTCGTCAATAATTTTTCTATAAGCAGCATGCAGTTAAGTCAATACCTATTTCAAATTCAAGGTGTAAGAAATATACTGTAAATCTACAATGTAGACCTCTAGTTTTATTGCCATGGACATTAAATGGCTATGGAAATAATTGGCTTGGTTGATGCCTTTTCTGATTTTACCTGAAGAGGTATGTATGAGACATCTATGACATTGATGTCTTCTGTATTTTTCATTGTCTCTTTTCATTTATTAGTATTTATATACATATTAACTTGAGACACACATGAATCACCTTGTAATTTTCCAGATCAAAATCTTTATCTTGTGTTGCACATGCCATTTTTAGTTGTGTAGCAACCACCAAATTTAAAATTGATTATTTTCGTCCCCGCCTGGCTACCCCATACCCAAGAAGTTGAGGTATCCGAATTGGTACCGGGAAGGAAAAAATGGTATCAGAACCTTTCTACCCTGAATCCTGCTAGTGGGGCTAGAACTCCAGACCTCAGTATTTCTAAAATCCTGGATACAGCCCTGCATCCATTTACATGTAACTTGTTTGTATATTGCAGTTTATTTGTACAGTCCTTTACTTCTGGCAGGCAGATATTAACTGTACATTGGAATTAAAGTATGTCTAAGATCAAACACAAAAACACTGGATAAGTAAAAACGTAAATACAATATAGTCACTCATGGTCCTATTGAAGGCCGCAGGGTCCAGGGCCATAGTGCTCCACTGTTGTCTCTTATGCACTAAATCAGTTTAATAAACTAGGTAACACAGTGAAAGAGACAATTTTAAGGCGCCGAAGAGCTCCATCTTTTCATATCAGATCTATAAGAAATTTTTTTCCGCCAAAAGAGGTAAAAACCCTCTTACAATAACAACCTGATCAGCAGTCAGTCAGTGTATTTCCATTTTTCATTCATGCCAACTGCTTGGATGAATAAATATTCAGTTAAACACTTTACATACAGTACAAAACCAATAGAGCTTAAATGAGAGTCCCAACTTAAAGTCCTGTCATTCACTGCGTGTGTACTACGGCATATTATAAAATACATACATTTAACTATTGTACAGCTGAGAGATTGTTGGGAAGCACCAGGGAAAATATCTGAATCAATTCAATATCATCTCTATATTTCCTTCGAGATCCTACTCATAACGCTTCTTAATTACTCTTTAGTTTGGTTTAAGTTCTATTCTGGTGGTGCAGATGGCCAGGGGAGAAGAATCGCAGTGTCGATTCTTGTGTGGGCTAGCTCTTGGACATTCTCAGATGAGCTCGGCCCCACGTTGCGGTTCGGCCAGCTGATATTCCTCTCAGCAGGCAGCTGACTGAGATCTTTGCACACCGTTACTTGGCTTGATGGCTTCAGTGATGAAGTTGTGGTGGCAGCCTTTGCCAGATAATGTTGAACTTTTGAGTTCTTTCTCTCAGAGTTAGCAGGGTGCCGACCTTCAGCACATTTGGTAAGCTTATGGCAGGGCAAAAAGAGAAAGGGGGCGGCGTCCATGGCGGAAAACTTTACTCCTCCTATACTACATTGTCTTAACTCTTACATTTTACATCTAAATCTGATGTCTAGTTTTCCCATGTTTGCAAGCGTGGCCATCTCAGCTGCTAAAGGATAACAAACACATCTTATAAATAATAAACAGGATATAAACCACTGACAACCTGATGTTAACATGGGCTGATAGAGGGCAATTCTCTACAAAATCTATTATGACACTTGAGGTTTGCACATAAGATTAACACATGCATCTATGTCTCTATATCAGTGAGTAAAATAACATTTATACATGTCAAAGGGGTCCTTGTGTCAGAGGAATGTGCATTTGCTTTCAGCAAGTGTTTTGTTTGTCCATGGAAGGCGACCTGTGGCATCTATAGGTAACAACTCATTCTAAGGTAACGAAAACTCAATAATTCTTATATTCAGGTGATTATACACTAATGAAAACATACATTATATTCCATTTCTGACAATAGATCCTCCTTAATGTTACACACTGGACCTTTAATAAGACTAGTTCAGGTAAAACAAATTCTACACAATGGCTGCATAGGTTTTGCTAAAAAACAATCCTTCCAGCAGTCTTGATATAGCCAAGAAAACAAGGCCACAAAGAGAGGCATGTGTGGATCCTCTGAGCTATCTGTTCTAAACACCAAAATCACATCAGAACCAGTTACCCCAAAACAAGCATATTTCAAGAAATTTGAACACTTCAACTTCTTATAATCTTGCTATATGTGGACAGTCTGGAACCACTCTCATGTCAGTGTATTAAGGCTGCAGGGACTTTTCTTGCTCATCACCTTAATCTAAATGACAAAAAGCCATCACTTTAACAGATAGTGAAAGCCAGCGATGTTATATATTCCATGTCTGAAAGGGGCACATAGATTTATATTTAGTTTATTTATTTTGTTACCATGTATTAGATTAGTTTTGATTCATTTATTGATTGTTTCCTGATCCACCGCAGTGCTTGGTATGCACCAGAGAGATGTATTTAAAGTGTGAAAACGATTACG